CCATGTATGTACCTATGCAACAATCTTGCATGTTCTTCACATGTACCCCAAAACCTAAAATGCAATAAAAAATATATTTTTTTTAAAAAAAAGAAGGCTTCAGAAATTACCATAAGTAAAAAAGGGTCAAGTGCTAATATCCAAGAGAATGGGGTAACGGCCTCCAAGGCATTTCAGAGAGCTTTGCAACAGCTCCTTTTATCACAGACCCCATGGCCTATGAAGGAGGAATGGTTTCATGGGCCAGGTCAAGAAACTCACTTCCCTGCATAGCCTAAGAAGACCTTTTTATTTCCTTTCTCTTCTGCTCAAGACATGTCTCAAAGGGGCCCATATGCACCTCAGATCAAGCAAGCCATAAGCTATAGTGCCTTGCATGTAGTTTTAAGCCTCTGGTTGCAAAGAGTACAAGAATGGAGGCTCAGAGATTCCACCTAGATTTCACAGAATGTATGCAAAAGACTCTGAGTGTCAAGGCAGAAACCTGCCTCTACTGGGGCAGTGCAGAGGAGACATTTGGGGTTGGATCCCTCTGCTCAGAGTTCCCGCTGGGACATTACCTAGTGATGCTGTGAGAAGGAAGCCACCATCCCAGAATGGTAGTTCCATCAACAACTTAAATGAGAAACTTCTGGAACTCAATGCCAGCTCAGCCTGTTAGAGCAGACATGAGAGCTGAACCCTGCAAAACCACTGGAGCAGAGCTGCCCAAGGCTTTGGGAGTCCTTTCCACATCAATGTTCCCTCAGTGTGGAACATGGAGTCAAGATTATTTTGGAGCTTTAAGATTTAATGACAGCTGGGCATGGTGAGTCACAGCTGTAATCCCAGCACTTTGGAAGGCCAAGGCAGGAGGATCACCTGAGGTTACAGTTCCAGACCAGCCTGGTCAACATGGTGAAACTCCATCTCTCCTAAAAATACAAAAATTAGTTGGGTGTGGTGGCACGAGCCTGTATTCCCAGCTACTCGGGATGCTGAGGCAGGAGAATCACTTGAACCCAGGAGGTGGAGGTTGCAGTGAGCCAAGATCATGCCACTGTACTCCAGCCTGAGCAACAGAGTGAGATTCTGCCTGAGAAAAAAGAAAACTCAATGACTGCCTTGCTAGGTTTCAGACCTGCATGAGGCCTGTAGTCCTGGGTTATTTTTCCAGCATTATTTCTTTTTGGAATGGAAATGTTTAACCACTGCCTGTACTCCCATTGTGTCTTCAAAGCAATTAACTCATTTTTTGTTTTACAGTCTCACAGGTGAACAGTACTCTATCCTCGTCTCGGATGAGACCTTTGCATTAATGCTGAAATAAGTTAAGACTTTGGGGGCGTATTGGGAAGGCATAGCTATATTTTGCAATGTGCAAAGGACATGAGACTTGGAGGGTCAAGGGCAGAATAATGTGGTTTGGCTCTGGTTTCCAATCAAAACTCATGTCAAACTGTAATCCTTAATGTTGGAGGCGGGGCCTGGTGGGAGTGGTTGAATCATGGTGGTGGATCCTTTATAGTAATTTATCCCGTTTGCCTCTGTCTTGTTCCTACTCCACCTTATGAGACATCTCAGTTCCCATTAGCCTTCTGCCATGTTTGGAAGTTTCCTGAGGCCTCCCCAGAAGCAGAAGCTGCTATGCTTCCTGTGCAGCCTACATCTCCATGAGCCAATTGCATCTCTTTTCTAAGTTACCCATTCACAAGTATTTATAGCAATGCAAAACCAGATTCATGCAGTTGGGATTAGCTAAATTAAACTTGTTCTCTGTTTAGGTAGTAGAGCAGCATTGAAACTTTGTGCCCTTAGAATCTTGCTTTTTTATTTCTCTTCACCCCTTTTTTCTTATTGAAAGGCTGAAAGGGAAGTGCATGTAAAACGGAATGGTGATTGTATATTGGCAGTGAGAGTGTGGGGTTGAGGATCAGCTGTCATAGAGTCACACAGCTAGTATCATCATCTGATAAGATGCCGGCACATGCAGAGGTGGGAGACTCAGTGTGCATCTTTTATGTGAAGTCTACTGGGAAGAAAATAGTATTTCCTTAGAGACAGCAGTAGCGTCAGTCATCATGCAAGTGTCCTGAGATTTGGCTTGATGATTTCAACACACTGTCTTACAGCATGAGAAGGAGGAGTCTCTTCAGTCAGAGGATTAAGTGTAGAATCAGTCATGACACGCACTTGGTTTCAGTTTTTAGGAGAGTTTAGTTTTTGATTTTTTTTTTAGCTTGGAGGTTTTCTTTTAATAATCAGTTATTTTTTTAATAGATCTATACTCGTAACTGATTAAGACTCCACTGTGTGATTCGCTTACTTAATTAAAATCTTTCAGGGGAGGTCTGTAGATCTCAGGGTTCATGAAACTGGTATTGGTTGATCCAAGGAGTAACCAAAAATAATTTCTACTATTTTAAATACTGAAGGAAAAAAGCGATGTATAGGGTCTTTTGCAAAAATACTGATAACACACCAAGGTCAATTAATCTTTAAAAATGTTTTAATTCTTCAATTATTATAATGGAAATAAAAATGGCTGATAAATACCACAAAGATTCAAAAGCAACTTAAAGAGCGCAGAGATTCAGGCTTGCATTGCTGAAATCTCTATGTTTCCAGAGTTGCTGCATTAAATAATAAGATTATTGCATTTAGACATTTAAAACTGTCCCTGGTGGCTCACGCCTGTAATCCCAGCACTTTGAGAGGCTGAGGCGGGTGGATCACGAGGTCAAGAGATTGAGACCATCCTGGTCAACATGGTGAAACCCCGTCTCTACTATACAAAAAATTAGCTGGGCATGGTGGCACGTGCCTGTAGTCCCAGCTACTCAGGAGGCTGAGGCAGGAGAATTGCCTGAACCCAGGAGGCGGAGGTTGCGGTGAGCCGAGATCGCGCCATTGCACTTCAGACTAGGTAACAAGAACGAAACTTGGTCTCAAAAAAAAAAAAACTGTCCCTGGAAGGATATAGTATCTACTGTTTTAATGAAGTCCAACGTATGCTGCCTCAGAAATCCCTGGGTACTAAAATGGTAAAAAGTCCATTTGAAACATTGATGAGTAACAATGAACAAAAGGATCACTTTGAGGTTGGGTGCTGGGGCTCATGCCAGCACTTCAGAAAACTGAGGGAGGTGGATTACATGAGGTCAGGAGTTCCAGAGCAGCCTGGCTAACATGGAAAAATCCTACATCTATTAAAAATACAAAAATTAGCCAGGTGTGGTGGTACACACCTATAGTCTCAGCTACTTGGGAGTCTGAGGCAGCAGAATCTCTTGAATCTGGGAGGCAGATTGCAGGGAGCAGAGATTGTGCCACCACATTCCACACTCCAGGCTGGGCAACAGAGTGAGACTGTTTCAAAAAGAAAATGTCAGTTTGAATACAGCTATAGAAAGAAGTCACTGAAATAATTACTCAACAGCACATTGACTCTAAAAAGTAACTTTACATGTGGAATTTTTAAGATCAGGCTATCATAATTTTAACATTTAATTGAAATTTTTACCTTAAGTTACTAAGAGATAGATTTGACATCATGTGGCTTTACCTTCACTACAGATATGTGGAACTTTAACCGGATATATTATGCTCTAAAAACAAGACCAGATAACAGCAAACTGATTCAGCTCCTAGGACTGAAGAAAACCGGGCAAGTGAGGGCCCAGGAGGCCAGGTACCTAACTCTGCCATCTTTGGCAGTTGCCTTTCATGGTCAGAAAAAGTCAAGAAAGATGGCACCACTCTCTGAAAGGAGGCTCCACATTGGGAACCAGAACCACCAGTCTAGATTCCTTCATCCCTAAGATGGTCTTTCTCTTGAAAACAAGCACCCCCTCCTTGGCCTCAAGTCCTCTTCCTTGTCGGTTAAACACAATTAATTCTCCGTCTTTATGACATGCCTATTTTTTTTTACTTGCCAAGAACTCTGCAGGAAACCCCAGACACCCTAGGGCAGACAAAAGGAGAAGGCTGTGCAGCCCAGGCCCTTGACTAACCTCTCCCAGCCCCCCCCTCCCAAAAGCCATAGCAGGGTTGAGGGCCAACCTGAGCCTGCAGAGAGGAGAGCAAATGGCTAGTGTTCTGGTGGCATTTGGGATATTCATGACAGCTTGTGCAAAGCAACCCTGGCAGAGTCTGTGGTCACCTCTGTCCTCCATCCCTGGATGGCCAGGCTCTAGTGGCCTTTCTTTCCTCCCTCCCTCCTTCCTTTCTCCCTCACTTTCTCCATTTCCTCCCTCCGTTACCTTTCTTCCTCCCTTTCTCCATCCCTTTCTCTTTCCCTCTCTTCCTTTTTTTCTTCCCTCCTCTTCCTTCTGATCTGTGCCTCCTCCCAGCATCTGGCAACCCCATGTCCTGAGCCTGTGCAGGGTGAGAGTCTGTTGAAGTCAGAGTGGATGCATGGGAAGGGGGTTCTTATCAGTTTGGCCAGGGGCCAGAGGGCCACAGGGGCAAGCTTGAAGCTGGGTTCCTGGAGCCTGAGGCTGACTGTGTCCTGGAGGAGGGGCCCTGGCCCTGGGGGTGAGACAGGATGGAAGTCTGTGGACTGAGAGGGGCATTGGAAGGGAACTTTGAGCACCACTGCTCAGGGGCCTGGTCAGTGGGACCCAGTGTTTGCCTTGTCAGGTGGGACCTGGTCAGTGGGACTGTGGTCAGGGGAATATCGGTCAGTGGGATCCATTCTATGGGGGCATGGTTACGAAGAGGACCTGGTCAGTGGGAACGTTTTTATGCGGGGCAGTTAGTGAGGGCCAGGTCAGTGAGGACCTGGTGAGTGGAGGCCTGGTAGTGGGACGGGGCATCAGGGCCTGCTCAGAGGGGACCTGCTCAGTGGGGGTGTCATCAGTGTGGTCCTCTTCAGTGGGGCCTAGACAGTGGTGGCCTGATCATCGAGGCCTTTTTTTTTGAAGTTGCCTTTTTTAAGGTCTTTTTTCAAATGTTTTAATGGCGCAATTAAAATAAGCATTCAAACATGTTTTCACTATATTAATTTCTTTTTGTTTTAATTACCAAACCCAACATTTATTGAGAACAAAAGGAACCAGTTGGCATAGAGGCCTGACTTCAATTCATCAAACTTCAACTGAGGATGGGGTACAGGGGGTGGCCCTGAAGCTGCCCCCCCAGGGAGGAACCAACTCTGGGAGGGAGGGGCTATCAGACCTCCAGGCCTGGCTGGGGTCTCTGGTCAGGAATGTGTGAAGGGGTGGTGGGGAGAGAAGATGGCAGCACCCCCAGGCATGGGCTGCGAGCAGCTGGTGGCAGAGGAGGCGGCTGAGCTGTGGCCATCCATGCTGGGGAGAAAGGGTGTGGTCTGTTCTCAGTTGTTGACAGGGGCAGGGAGCTGAGCTCGGGCAGCAGCTCGGGGTGCGGGTCCAGGTGGGCCAGATGGCTCCGCTCTAGGGCAATGGCTTTGGCTGAGTGCTTGCACTTCTCAGAGCCACACTGGCAGGTGAAGTATTTGCTTTTGATGTCGCAGAAGCGGTCGCCATAGTCAAACCTTAGCTCCTCCCCAGTCCGGATGTCTCGGGAACTGAAGAAGGCAATGCATGGAAATCACAGGTCTTGGTGCAGCATGAAGACCCAGATGGGAATGATGTTGGGGTCACACAGGTGGTTGATGAATTGGCTGATGTTGCCATAGTAAAGGGGATCAATGCAGTACACCTCTCCATCCTTGTTGTCTTAGTTGAAGAGGTAAGAATCATCCTCTCTCACATCAGCCTCAGCATCAGCTCCCTGACACTTGCAGATGAAGGTTCCCTGTGGGATGGTCTGCAGGGCATGGACCCCCCAGCCCATCTTGGCTGTTTGGTAGAGCTGTAGCCGAACCTTGATGCCGCTCTGTATGACCCGGTTCTTGAAGTTTCTCCAGCAGAAGCATGCCTGGTTACACTAAAAAATCAGTGGGGGGCTCAATCTTGTTAAATTCCTGGAGCAATCGCCCATCCTTGTCATACTAGCACTAGATGCTGACTCGGCCACACAGGCAGTTGGAGCTGGAGCAGTCGTCCACACACGTGCAGTGCTGCAGATGGGTGATGTTGTGGTCGATGTTCATGGTGGACATCTCACAGTCTTCCAAGACGTACTTGCAATCCTCGGGGCAGGGCTCCCCATCCACACTGTTGACACAGGGAATGGGCACGTTCTCATAGCCCCGAGCCACATCCCGGGAGATGATCTTCTCTGTGCAGATGGCCCGATTTCCTACCCTGAGTCGGAGCTTGCGGTTAAGTTGAAGCACAAACCACACGTTGGAGTGCTCGGGAGTCAGGTCCCATGCCATGTCCCCCTCCTTGTTTCACAGCTCAGGGTTGGCTCCATGTGACAGGAATAACAGCATGCAGTCATGGTAGCTCTCCCGAGCTTCGATATGCAGGGGAGTGTCCCCATATATCATATATATGTAGTTGACAGCGTGGAGGTCACAGCATGCATTCAGAAGGACTTCAGCGATGGCGGTGCTGCTGGTGAAGGAGGCCCAGTGCAGGCAGATGTTTTCTTCGTTGTCAGTGAGGATGACATCAGCGCCCTGCGTCAATAGCATGCGGATCACCTCGATGTGCTTGTGCTCTGCAGCCCAGATGATGGGCATCCACCCACCACTGTCCTGGGTGTTGACATCCACTTGTCCTGTGCTCAGCAGGCTGACCATCTCCAAGTTACCGATTTTGGCTGCGTGGTGGAGGCAGGTGGAACCATCCACCTCCTTGCTATAGATGCAGCTGCCACGCTGCACCATGTAACGGGCCACCTCCAGGTGGTTGTTCACCATGGCCTCCATCAGTGGCACCCACTGCTGTTTGTCCACTGCATTTATCTTGGCTCCAGCCTGCAGCAGCACATGGCAGATCTCCACAGAGCCCTTCTGGGCGCCTGCATGCAAGGGCGGACGCTTGCTCTGCTGGTCGCTCTCGAAGTTGGGGTCCAGGTTGTCCAACAGCATCAGGATCACCTTCTGCAGCTTGCCCTGCTTTACAGGCAGGTACAACTGCCGAAGATGGAAACGGAGCTTCTTCTGCCTCTCTGACTCCTGGATGGCCAGGGCCTTTTCCAGGGCCTCCTGGCCTGGCCCCAGTGGCAGCCCCACGGTGGAAAGGCAGCCCCCATTGGGCAGTGTCAGGGACGGTCCTGAGCTGTCGATGGTGTCGGCCAGGGGATTGCAGGGTGGGCACCAGGGCTCCCCATGGCCTCGCATCCGGGCGCTGGGCTGGGAAGTGCCTGCTCTCCCGGGGTCATCCTGGGATGGGGTGGGGGTGCAGGAGCTGCAGTGCCAGCTGGTGTGGTCACCCCATCACCATGGGGGATGGTCACCTCCTGAGCCTCAGAAGCATCCTCCCCACAGTGGGGACAGAAGACCATCCCATTCAGCTGGGACACACAGGCCTTGTGGAAGTGGTGGGCCATCCAGAAGTCAGGGTGGCACACCAGGAAGGTGTCTGCCATGCAGAAGTAGCCACAGCCCGAACAGCATTGGTGTTTGACCATGCGGGCATGGTGGGTCTCACAGAGCACCATCAGGGTCACGTGGCTGGATGGCCTCACGGTCTCCCGCTTGAGGATGGCAGCTTTGCAGCCCGACAGCTCTCCATCCACACTCTCCATGGCCATGTACTTGTGCTCTGCCCTCTCGCTGATGTGGTCAGTCTTGGGTGCCTTCATGCAGCAGCTGCACAGGGGCAACTCCTCAAACCCACGCTCTGTCTCCAGCAAAGATGTGTCATTGGACACCCCAGAGTGGTTGGGGGAGAGGGTCCCCTCCCTGGGCAGCTCCAGGGACCCCAGAGGGACCTCCATATACTCATTGGGGCCTGAGGAGCCCACACCATTCACTCCTCATGGCTCCTTGGCCCTTGGAGGCTCCCACTTGCGCCGTTTCCTAGATGACTTCACCCATGGGCTGTCTTTTAGCCATTTCTTCTTGGCCTTGTGCCGGCCACTAGAACCACTCCTATCTGACTGATTCCCTGACTACTCATCTTCCTCCTCTTCTTCCTCTTCCTCCTCTTCTTCTTCTTCCTCCTCTTCACTTAGTTGTTCAGTTAGAGCTTCAGCTTCCGACTTGCTGTCAGAGTCCACGTGCTCATCCACAGAGTAAAAATCATAGTAGAGACTGAAGTCGTCACCCACCACTGTCTCCCACTCCTCCAGGGACCTGGGATCCCCTTTCGCCAAGGTCACTTCTCCTGAACGCCGGGCAGAACCTAACTCCTCCAACAGGCTGCCTCCTGAGTTCAGCTTCCTCCTTTTGGCCACATCTGAGGTCACCTTTCCCAGAGAGTGGATGTTGTCGTTCATGCGGAAATGCTGTACTTCAGGAGCCGCTTCTTAGGGACTGGGAGCTGTCCATTTCCTGGTTTGGACATGGTTTTTCGGGCTCAGTGGACCTTGGGCTGCGCCTCCAGGCTAGTGGTGGCTGGAGGGGGTTCAGGCCCTGCTGCTGCAGTTCCATGTTCCAAGCATTTAAAGTGTTTAAAATAGTCACTCATAACTCTGGCAGGTGTCCTGTAAGCTAACTCTGGCAGTTCAAAGGTTTGTTGATAAAATTATCAAGTCAAAATATTTCCAAAAAGCAACAGACAGAATTTATTAAAAAGAAGATTGAAGAACTCTCCAACACACCCCTGCTGCTCACCGTTGAAGTACAAGAATATAGAGGAACCTTGGCAGTCAGCATTCCACCACCCCCAACTGACCGAGTGTGGTATGGTTTCTGAAAGCCACCACATGTGGAGCTGAAAGCTCAGCCAAAACTTGGAGAGAGAGAAGTGACTTTAGTTCATGTGACAGACTGGATAGAGAAGAAACTGGAGCAAGAATTTCACTCACGCCTATAATCCCAGCACTTTGGAAGGCCGAGGCGGGTAGATCATGAGGTCAAGAGATCAAGACCATCCTGGTCAACGAGGTGAAACCCCATCTCTACTAAAAATACAAAAATTAGCTGGGCACGGTGGTGTGCGCCTGTAGTCCCAGCTACTCAGGAGGCTGAGGCAGGAGAATTGCTTGAACCCAGAAGGCGGAGGTTGCGGTGAGCCGAGATTGTGCCATTGCACTCCAGTCTGGGTAACAACAGCAAAACTCCGTCTCAAAAAAAAAAAAAAGAATTTCAGAAAGTTTTTGTCATGCCAAACATGGATGATGTTTATATCCCTATAATGCACTCAGCCATGGACCCTCGCTCCGCTTCCTGCCTCCTGAAACACCCACCTGTGGAGGCTGCTTATCAGCCGTAATGGGTGATATAGGATGTTCCCCGTATTGTGACATTGAGCTGGACGTGTGGGGTTCTTGGCCGCCATCTGTACTGTAGCACTGGCCTCTACTTGTGCCACAGCTACTGTTTCTTAAAGGACTGCTTCTGCCCCCTGCCTGCCAGGGCCCATTCCTCTGAGATGTCATTCCCTGCATCCAGTGACAAGTGTCTGGATTGCCTGCTGCAAAGCTTTGATTTGGCAAAGGAGACTGTGGAAGAATCATGGTGGATCCAGAAGTTACAGGTGACCCACACCATGGCTTTTAAAAGTCTACCCATTTTTGCAGCAGCAAATGAGCACAATAAGAGCAAAGCTGAGCAACTTGCCTCCTCTACTCCTCCAAAGCTTTTCTTCAGGCGGCCAGTGCACAGTGGCACTTTTTCACTTCTACACCTTGTACACGGCCTTCCACACTTCCAGAGAACGTCAGTGTGCAATGTGTCTGGAGGGTGGGGAGAGGAATTCTGTGAGCCTTTTCATTTTGGTGACAGAAGAGATGGGCATAGCAACATACTTTTTTTCACGTTAAATTGTACATTTTGGAAGCAAATAGCCATAGAATATACACACACAATAACACGCTGTCAGCTTGGGTAGGAACAGTGGAGTTTATGTGAACATCAGGCAAAGCCATGAGATTAAACCAACCCAAGCCTTTTACTAATGAGGTACAACCACCTGGTTGCTAGCTAATCTTCAGTGTTTTCCTGAGACAGGAACATACATGAAAACATCAAACACTGCACATAATAACAGGATGGTTCCTCTCATACAGATGGGGTGGGGCCAGAAAGCCAGAGTCAGTTTTTCCATCTGGCATTTCCTGTATCCTCCAGGTTTTATATGGCACTCTAAATGGTTTGTTGATCTGATTGGTTTGGGAGAGTTCCATGGGTAGTTTCCCTTCCTGATGGCCAAAACTAAGAACTGCTCTTAAATTATTTCAAGAGTCAAGACCAAAAGTTTGCTCAATATCACACTCTGTATCTCAGAATGAATGTGATTTTCCTTAATCTTGCCAACTTAATTTTGTGCATTTGTGTCAGAATGTTTAGTTTACAAGGTTGGGGCTCTCGTGTATAATTTGCTTTGAGAGGTAAACCTAGTATTTTTTTTTTTATTGTTTAAAGCTACATTCAACATCAAACCTTGGGTAACTTTTGATAACTTAAATCTGTGGACAAAGCTAGTAGTGGTTTTTTTAAACATCACGTTGCCTGAATATGACTTTAAAGGTCCCCCTGGTCACTGGGAGCCTAGTCACTGGTCACTGGGGGCCTGGCAAGTGAGGTCCTGATGAGAGGGGACCTTGTCAGTGAAAGCGTAGTCACTGGGGTTTAGTCACTTGAAACCTGGCCAGTAAGCACCTGGTCACTTTGGCCTTGCCGGGGGGCCTGGTCAGAGGGGCCTGATTAGTGTGGACCTCGTCAGTGGGGACTTTGTCAGTGAGGCCTATTTAGTGGGGGCCTGGTCAGCAGGGGTCTGCTTAGAGAGGGCCTCATCAGGGGGACCTAGTAGTGGGGTGTTGGTGAGGGGATATTTAGTGGCAGCTGGTTATTTCATGTCTGGTCAGTGCAAACCTGGGCTGCGGTGCTTGCTCAGTGGAAACCCGGTCATGTGGGGCTTACTGGTGGCCTTGTCAGCATGGGCTGGGTCACTGGTGACCAGGTCAACTGGTCCTATTCAGTGGAGGCCTGGTCACATGGGACCTAGTCAACAGGATCTGCGGGGTGTGTCCTCATCAGTGAGGCCCTCATCAGTGGAGACCTGGTTGGGGCAGCCTGGTCAGCAGAACCTAAGCAGTGGTGACCTGGTTAGTGGGGATCTGAACAGTGGGTGCCTGTTCAGTGGGGCCTACTCAGTAGGGTCCAGGTCAGGGAGCACTTGGTCACCTCAGGCCTGGTCAGTGGCAGCCTGTTCACTGGAGGCCTGGTCAGTGTGCTCTCGTCTGTGGGGCCTGGCAGTGGGGACCTGATTGGTGAGGCCTGGTCAGTGTGCTCTCGTCTGTGGGGCCTGGCAGTGGGGACCTGATTGGTGAGGCCTGGTCAGTGTGCTCTCGTCTGTGGGGCCTGGCAGTGGGGACCTGATTGGTGAGGCCTGGTCAGTGTGCTCTCGTCTGTGGGGCCTGGCAGTGGGGACCTGATTGGTGAGGCCTGGTCAGTGTGCTCTCGTCTGTGGGGCCTGGCAGTGGGGACCTGATTGGTGAGGCCTGGTCAGTGTGCTCTCGTCTGTGGGGCCTGGCAATGGGGACCTGATTGGTGAAACTTGTCAGTGGTGCCTGGTTCATAAGAACCCTGGTCAGTGGTGCCTGCTGAGTGGGGTTCTGGTCAGTGGGTCCTGGTCAGTGGGCCTGATAAGTGGGGTCCTGGTCATTGTGGGCCTAGCAGTGGGGACATAGTCAGTGGGGTCTGGTCAGTAAGGACCTGGTCAGTGGGGCCTGGTTGGTGGACGCCTAGTCATTGAGAGCCTGGCAGTTGGGGCCTGGTCGGTAGGGCTTGGGGAAGGGGGTGTAATCAGTGAGGACATGGTCAGGGAGGACCTGATGTGTGGAGTCTGGTCAGGAGGGACCTGGGCAGTGGGGGTTACCCAGCACTGCTGCAAGAGCCAGGGGCAATGTGAGTTATGAAGTGCCCTGTGGACAGCTGAGCTGGCCCAGTGGTGCTCAGCAGCCAGTTAAAAGTACACAAGGCAGGTGTTTGGGAGATCTTGCACAGAGATTCTGACAGGACAAAGGTAAAGGAAGGGCCAGAGTGGCCAGAGAGATGGCCAGAGTCTATGGGCCGCATAGGGTGGAGGGAGCCAGGGAACAGACAGGGTGGGCTGCTGGGGTGTAGGGAGAGGCAGGTGCATGCTGGGAGGTCAGGCACTGTGAGGATTCTGGGAGCATCAGATGAAATGGGCTCCAGGTGCACCCTCAGTGCACTGGGCAGGTCTCAGGCCAGGCTCCCTGGACTCCGGCCTGGTGATGTGGTCACTCCCTGGGGGACTGCTGTCAGGCCTCAGCCACCCACCCTGGGCAGCACCATCCCATCTCAGGACTGGACTTTCTCAGATTCTGCAGAGAGCAGAGCCTCCAGCCCAGGAGACGCAACCCCTGTGTGCAGAGTGAGCTCTCCATGGGCCTGGACCATCCCCTGCCAGCCCTGAGCTCCCTCTTCTCTTGGGTCTTGCTTTCTCAGTGTCAGAAAAGAGGCCCCATTCTCACTTCCCTAGGTGGTCTCCTGAGCTTGGACTTGGGGTGGATGGGGACAGGAGTTGTGTTCCCCTTGGCCCACTTAGGGAGGAGGCTGGCTCCCAGCCTGGCACAAGTCCTGAGTTCTGCCTTGGTTTCCTTACAGTGACATGGATCTGCCCATGTCAGTGGCCTTGTGGTGAAGGTAAGAGACTGTCCCTGCTGTGTGGGAGGCTGGTCTAGGGATGGAGGACAGGGTAGAAGTCAGGGGGGCAGCCCATGTGCACATTTGGTGAAAGTGAAGTGACACACCATTCCTGGGATGCACCATGGTTTCTGCTAAACCTGACCCCAGGACTCTGTCCCTTACCAAATCCAAAACCCAGAACTGCAGATGTGGCTCACAAGTCAGCACCCACTATGCCAGGACACTGCTGGAGGCTGGTACCTGACCAAAGCTCATGACATCTGTGACCTGAGAACAGCATATCTTGCTTGGAGTCATGAGGCTAGGCCACCAATTTCCACTGGTCAGAGAGTCTCAGCCCCAGGGTTTGGCCTTCCCTGGCTCCTTCTGTCTCAGTCCTGTCAGGACTCTGGAGCCCAAAACCCAGGCTCCAAGAGCTACTCCAAGAATCCTGGCAGCTCAGCTGACATTATCATGTTTCATTTCAGGTAAAAATGTCAGGTGAGATGCACAGAAGACTGGCTCAAAGTGCTTAATGGCTGGAAGAAGTCTAGGAGCAGCAAGAAGGTCATGTGGAGAGGGCAGGGCCTCCACGACTGCTGTCTGCACAGCCAGGGATACAGGCACCCAGTGCTGTGGCCTGACATCACCTGCCTCTCAGATGGTGGGTGGCACACTGCCCTTACCTGGAGGAAAGCAGGCCTGGTCATCAGCTTTTCTATCTGTCCCTGCAAGCATCACTCTCATGCCAGGGCCTGGACCACCCCTAACTCAGGGGTTAGGGGTGCCTCTTGGTGACCTAAAAGAAAAAATAAGTCTAGATCAGAGTTCCCGACCCGCGCATCCACTCTTTGAGTCATAGGAGGGGAGGCCTGGTCCTAGGTAGAACTAACCTCTTTGTGAAACCATGGAGCCCAAGGCTAGAAACTTACAGAATCCTCAGGCCCCAGTCCTCCCTGGGGTCACCCTGTGGCCTGTCTCAGGGATCTTATCTGGGATATTTGCATTTTCCTGGAGTATTTCCATATGTAGGTTTTACTAAAAAATTTGCTAAAAGCTCAGATGACCTGACAAGCTCACTGCTTATTTACTGCGCTGTTTGGGGTCTGTCTGGTACTTAGATAAGATGCTATTTAAGATCATCTTTTTCTGCTGCTGGTCATGTGGGTGCCATATTTGGCACTTGTGCAAAGTCTGGGGCCCAGTGTCACCTTGTGTAATTTCTGAGACATTATTTTCATCTTGTCTGAGGCTGGTTAGGGTACGTTCATGTCATGCCTGAGGAATAGTGTGGGTCACACTTTAGTCGTATCTGGCACTTTAAAGGGATCGTATTGAAATGCTCCCTGAGGTCTTCTCTCCAGAAGCAGATGCCAGCCTTCCACACGTTCTCAACACGCTCATCACTCTCACCTTGAGCTTTGTCCAGACTCCTTCCAAAGAGTTTGCGCTCAGCTATGGGGCTGGTTCTGCTCTTAACCCTGGTAGTAGGGAAGGGCAAAACAGGATGAGGTGAAGGCCTATGGCGTGGTGAGGTTTAATTATTCAATCATGGTTCCAAATTATTAAACATGACTATTGTGTAATGACATAATTGGCTGTGGATGTGCTTTTGTGTGGCCATGTAAACTCCAGGAAACTGTGTGTTCATTAGTTAATCATGAGGTCAGGCCTCGGGGCAGCTCGTTTGACTCTTCCCAAATGCGGAGTGGGTGTTGGTGCCTCAAGAGTACCAAAGTGACACAGGTTATGACCCAGGCCAGGGTGAAGTGAGAACTCTCAGGGGTCAGCTCTCCTCGGTCCACACCCATCCTTTCCTGGTAGCTCCCAGTGTCCTTCCTCGTGAGTAGCAGGAAGATAGACCTAACCCACGGGAGGCAGGTGACCCAGCCAGAGAGAAACAGGAAGCTGGGTTCTGAAGAGGCCCCAGGCCTTGAAGCTGGTGGTGATAAGAGTCCACCTAGCCCAGAGGATTGAGGGCCTGGAGTGGGAGCTGTCCCTGGTCCTCCAGGGGCTGATGGCAGCTCCAGTGCAGGAGGGAGCAGGCCCAGCAGACACACCCATCCAGGGGCTACTGAGTCACACCAGATGCTACTATGGGGGCCACCTGCCAGGGGTGCCTTCGCCACCAAGTACATGGCCAGGTTCCCCTGGTAGGAAGGAGTGGGCGCCTGAGGCATGGGCTATGTGCTGGCTTTATGACGTGCTCCTGTTACAGGGTAACAGACACCTGGATTTCTTTCAGAGCCTGGACCTCGACTTATGCTGAATGTTGCCTTCAATCCTTTGGAGTGGGGGAAAATAGAGCCACCCATATTGAGAAAATCAATGTGCACTCCCATCACTGAGTGTCCATCCTTCAGTCCCCTCACTCAGGTGTGGACCTTCAGTGCCCCCAGAGCTTCACTTGGGGCCTCTGGTTTGAATGGTGAGAGGTGGTTGGAGTGAGGGCCACAAGAATGTCAGTGCAGCCACAACACATCCACACCCCATCTTCCATCACACCCCATCTTCCATCACGCCCCATCCTCCACACACCATCTTTAATCACACCCCATCCTCCATCACACCCCATCCTCAATCATCTCTCATCTTCCATCACGCCCCATCTTCAATCATGTCCTATCTTCAATCATGCCCCATCTTCCATCATGCTCCATCTTCAATTATTTCCCATCCTCCATCACACCCCATCTTCACTCATGTCCCATATTCAATCACGCCCCATCCTCCATCATATCCATCCTCCATCATATCCATCTTCCATCACGCCCCATCCTCCATCACGTCCATCCTCCATCATATCCATCCTCCATCATATCCATCTTCCATCACATCCCATCCTCCCTCACATCCCATCTTCCATCACATCCCATCTTCCATCACACCTCTCAGCTGAGTCTCCAAGGCTCCTGTAGCTCCACTTGACCTCCTGGACAGAGTGAGGCAGGTGTCTGTGGGCCAGCTCTCCAAGCCGCACTGAGGACCCCCAACACCAGAGAGGACTCCCTGAGCATAGCCAGAGCCACCCCCAGTCAAATTGGAGCTCTCCACCACCCCCCAACACATACCGGCACTTCCTCCTCAGAAGGGAAGGGACCTCCCTCAATTCTCCTTCCTCCTGCTGAGGCCCCAAGTGGAACTCACTTCACTTTTCAGGCCCACTCCAGAGGCCGCTCACTCCTCGAAGGTCTTTCCCAGCCCTTCTCTGATCTCTCCTTCCTTTGTCTCTCATCTTTGTCATTTGTGCCTCTGTTTACCCTCCCATCTAGACTGAGTTCCTCAGAGCAGGATGTGTGGCTTGTTAACCTCAGCACATCCCATATACACAGATGCACCTCTCTCACACACACCCAAGCACACTGCTTTGCAGATACAGGTATTAGATGACCCATAAATGCTTTGTGCATATAATTGACTATAGGGACATGGCCTCTAACCCAGAAATCACACAGGCATGTGGGGAAGCCCCTTCAGCACATGTGTAGCTGCACAGAAGACAGTGCAGAACCAAGTGCCAAACACTGTGGACAAACTAGAATGGAGGACCCTCAGGCCAGTGAGATGGCACTGAGGCCAGAGCCCTTAGGGATACCTTCAAAGTGGGTCTGAGGCTGACCAAGCCCGTGGGGTGTGGAATGTGGACACGGGAGAGAGGCAGGGAGAGGGAGGTTTTCAGGTGTTTAGAATGAGAGCAAGGCCAGAGAATGACATGCAAAGTATTGGGCACGTGGAGTTCGAGAGGCATCGTTTAGGCAGAGGAACCCATGGGCAGAACTGGAGTGGAGAGAGTGTCCCAGCATTACCCTGCTGCTCCAGGGGTTTATCTGTGAGACGAAAACACTGCAGGAGTCCCAGCAGCTCTGCTGATCTCCAGGTGGCTTCTGCTCTTTAGGCTGGTATAACCTTTTTAGAAATATTCCTCACTAGACAGAGGACAGTGACCCAGTCCATTTTAATAGTAGCAAGTCTCTGGGCCAGGATAGAAGGGAGTCACTTAAAAAAAAAAAAGCCAGAGGATGCAGTTTCCACTGCCTGGGGCCTCCAGGCCCCTCTCTGTACATTCACACTGTTGTTTTTCTAGACTGTGCTCCTCAAAGTAGGATGATGTGTGCTCTGCGGCCTTTGGGTTGATGTCACTGACCCTGAGTGTCTGGAAATCTCATCCCTGCCAACATCAGATGCCAAAACACAGGCCAGTATGTATCCATCTGTCCTCACTCGCTAACGGACACACAGCTCAGGGTGGGAAAAGGACCAGAAGGGAGGTGTGAGGGGAGGAGGCCCTGGTTCCTGGTGTTAAAATGAGCCCTCTGAATGAAGAGACCCCCAAACAGGCTTTGTGTGAGCAACACAGCTGTTTATTCACCTGGGTGTGGACGGGCTGAGTCGGAAAAGAGAGTCAGCGGATAACGGTGGGGTAGGAGTTGGTTTTATAGGTTTGGGGTGGGCAGTGGGAAGTTACAGATGTTACAGTTCGGGCAGTTTTTGCAACCTGGGAGGGGGTCATAGGGTCTGGAGTCACCAGACTGACCAAGATTGGTTACAAAGTCCAGTTGCCTTATCAGTTGACGCAGGAATAAGGAACAGTAGTAGAATAAGTTAATTAGGCACCACAGGGGTTGATCATTCTTCCCTTTTGGGTTTTCCCAGTTGCTTCAGACTTTCTATTTCCAGGAGGCCATCCAGAGGTACGTGTGGGTCACAGAGGTTACCATGCCATCCACAGCGTGGTCAGACCTTACACCTTACAGCTTCTCATGCAGGGCTGGGGGTGAGAGGCCTGGGGGCCCCCAGGACCCCTGACAGTCATGCCTTTACTGGGGGCATAGGCCTGCAGGTCTGTCAGATCATCCTGGAAAGGGCCAACATGGAGTTCACTCACTGGAGTAGGAAACAGAACCTGCACCCAGGGTGGCTTCTGGTGGGTCCCAAACCTGTCATCTGCCCAGGGACACACAGCAAACCCAGAGAGCACTGTGCATATCCCAGAAAGGGACCAAGCATGGAGAGCAGCTGGTCCAGGCTTCATAACCACTCACTGCCGAGACCCCTGGACTCCAGGGCTCCTGGCTCACAGCCAGTGACATGACAGCAAGACTTCCAGCTGCAAAGGCTCAGGGGAAAGCTGGAGGGCTCCAAGACTGAGGCCCTGGCCCCAGGAGGAGAGTGACTCTGAGAAGGTCAGAGCTGGAAGTGGGTCGTCAAGTCTCAAACTCCTTGTGCAGAACTGCCAGCCTCTTCTTCAAACACAGCCTCTGCTCCTGGGGGCCTGAGCATGTGCTCCACCAAGCCCAGGAGGTGCCCAGACTATGGACCTCACTTTGATGCCCAGGTCATGGGCTCTGGTGAGAACAGTGGATTTCATTTTAAGGTCAATGAATAGTGACTGGAGGGTTTCACCAGGAGAATAATTCGGTCTGGGGATACACTAGTTTGGGAGAGCTGGGTGGGGCGGGAAGGGCAGATTCTGTTTGTTCCTGAGCTTGAGCCTCCCACTAGATACCCAAATCCGGTGCAAGGTGGGAGCTGTGTGGACGAAGCCAGAGCTCGGGTTGCTGTAGGAGCTGGACAGGAGACAGCCTGCAGGAAGCCCATCATCCCCAAATCCACCCAGAGCCAGCCTCGTGCAGTGTCAGCCCACACAGCTGCCAGTTGCTCCCACTTCTTCTTAGTACAGATGGTCCTGGACTTACCTCCTTTTGGCTTTGCAATGGGCTTATTGGGATAGTAAATACATTTTTGAGCCTGTAATCCCAGCACTTGAGTGGCCAAGGTGGGCGGATCACCTGAGGTCAGGTGTTCGAGAAAAGCCTGGCCAATATGGTAAAACTGCATCTCTATTAAAAATACAAAAATTAGCCTGGAGTGGTGGGCTACTCCCTGAATTTACAAAGCCACGTGGTGGCGGGTCACTGTGCCTGCAATCAGGATACATGAGGAAACTGGAAACCCGAACCCCCCAGACATTTCCTGCTTCTTCTTTTTTTTTTTTTTTTTTTTTTTTAGACGGAGTTTCGCTCTTGTTATCCAGGCTGGAGTGCAATGGCACGATCTCGGCTCACCGCAACCTCCGCCTCCTGGGTTCAGGCAATTCTCCTGCCTCAGCCTCCTGAGTAGCTGGGATTACAGGCACGCGCCACCGTGCCCGGCTAATTTTTTGTATTTTTAGTAGAGACGGGGTTTCACCATGTTGACCAGGATGGTCTCATCTCTTGACCTCGTGATCCACCCGCCTCGGCCTCCCAAAGTGCTGGGATTACAGGCTTGAGCCACCGCGCCCGGCCCCTGCTTCTTCTTTTGTGGCAATCCCTCCCCACATTCAAACAGCTCACAAAGGTTTACAGGGAAGAAACCTAATTTGCTCCCTAGATGTCAGCTTCTGGAGTTCATGCATTAATAACGACAAAAAGAACAGCTGATTCTTATCCAGCCCTTACTCTGGGCCGGGCCCTGTTATCAGCAAGAAGTCTCAGGCATCAACTCGTGTACTCCTCACGACAGCCCATGGGGTATAGACGATCATCACCTCCTTTTTACAGGTGAAAACGCCTGAAGTCCTGCAAGGTTGAGTAACTCACCCAGGTCGCACAGCTCAAAAAGCCCACTGCAATTCCAGGGTTCAGGCTTTGTTTTCAGGGTGCCCCGGGCTTCTGAGGAGGAGTCAGTGGGCTCATCATGGAGAAGGTGGTAGCCTGAAGAAAATGCAGGCAGGCTGAAAGATTGGGGGTCCCCCAGGACCCGTACATCTGGGTACCTGGGTGGGGATCCGGCAGGGCCAAGGTAGGGGCCGGTGTCCGTGCCCTGGGAGTGTCCCCAGCTGATGAGTGGGCCCCTGGGGGGCGAGCGCAGGCTGACCTGCCCGGGCGCTCACCTGGTGGCCGGCTTGGGGGTGGCGGCGGTGGCGTACCAAGCCTTCCTGGGTCCCCCTTCCCGCACCACGCCCTGGGGTGGGGTAGGCGGGTGGGCGTGGGGCGCCCGTGGGACCCGGGGCCCTGGCTGTCTGGGGAGTCCGTCACCCCGAGGCGACCGGCTCTTCCCGGGCCGGGACGTCTGTAGGCGGCAGGCGGCCTCCGCACCCGCGACCTCATAAATACTGCGGCGGCGCGGGTGGCGGGAGACGCGCGTGAGGGCAGCCGGCGCCCCTGAGGGTGAGCCGGGGTCCGGGAGGGTGCCCCCGCTCCCGGATGGTCCCGACCTGGCTCCAGCCTGGCATGGCAGCTGGAGACCGAGCTGGAGCTGGGATTCAGGGAAGAGCTGGGGGTGGGGGTGGGTACAGATCGGGGAAGGGCTGGGTTGCTGCGGATGGGCAGAGAGGATGCAGCCTCTCTGGCCAGGATGGATTCCAAGGGATCTGGGGGTGGCGTGGGAGGATTGGGATCACTAGGAGCAAAATGGAAAGCTAAGGATGGAGTAGAGCGGCGAGGTCCCGGGACGGTGGGGGCGGGGGGGTGCATGGGGGGACTGCTGCGGCTGCTCCTTAGCGATTCTTATTTGGGGTTTCTCTCTCCAGTGTCTGGATTACTGCCCGTCTTCAAGAAGACCTCCCTGCCCTCCTGCCTCACTCCCACAGAGCTATGCCTGATCACCCACCGTTCCCTATCCTCCCTGCCCTTCCTGCTGTACCTGTGGAGAGCTGATCTCCTCAGTCCCCCTTCTTTTCCCCTGTGTGCTGTCACCACCCCACCACCATGCACTCCCTTCCTGGCTGCTGGTCCTGCTGCTGTCTGCTCCTGCTATGCTCCTTGGGAGTCCAAGGGTCCCGGGGGGCCTCCAGCGCTGCCCCAGAGCAAGTCCATTTGTCTTACCCAGGTAAGTGTCCCTGACCCCTCTCTACGCCTCTCCCAGCAAGGCCCAGTGGTGCTATGTTGTGAAGGGCTCAGAAATCCCACACTGTGGGCCCCTAGGCAGGTGGCTTGTTCCTCCTGAGCCTCGGTCACTCACCTCTGTGAAATGGGGTGTACAGGCCGTGGTACATCTGGAAGTGTGGGGAATGATCATGGCGCTCAGCGGGCTGCTGCTGTTCTTGTTCATTGATTGCATTGCTGTCATGTCTCCAGGACCTGGCACATTCATTTGTGCATGGTGGGTCTTAGAGCCAGTTGTGGGAGGAACTCGTAGATGAGTGATGACAGAGCTGGGTTACCCAGTCCCTTCTCCATCCCTCCTCTCCTCTTCCCCACGAGGCTGGCTGCCTCCCAATCTTTGATTAGGATCCTTGCACTGTAGGGGTGAGAGCTGGGACTCTGGACCCTCTGCACTCAGACAATGTGGGTTAGAATCCCAGCTTTGCTATGTACCTGCTATGTATCGGGCAAGTGGCTTAACCTCTCTGGCCTCAGCCTCCTCATCTGGATAATGGGGTAATATTAGTACAACCTCATGGTGAGGTGTAATAAGTTGCTACCTGTAAACATGTAGAAGTGAGGTTGTGTGTGGTGGCTCACACCTGTAGTTTTAGCAGTTTGGGAGGCTGAGGCAGGAGGATCACTTGAGGCCAGGAGTTTGAGACCATCCTAGGAAACACAGTAGGACCTCTGCCTCTTGGGAAAAAAGAAAAAATCTTAGCCAGTCATGGTGGCATGCACCTGTGGTTCCAGCTACTCGGGAGACTGAGGTAGGAGGATTGCTTGAGCCCAGGAATTCAAGGCTACAGTGCGCCATAATTGGCCACTATACTCCAGTGTGGGCAACAGAGAGAGACCTTGTCTTTAAAAAAAAAAAAAAAAATAGAAGAGGCGGAGCACAGTGGTGCATGCCTGTAATTCTAGCATTTTGGGACGCCAAGGTCGGTGGATCGCTTGACCTCAGGAGTTCAAGACCAACCTGGGTAACACAGCAAAACCCCATCTCTACAAAAAAATATAAAAATTAGCTGGGCATGGTGGCTCGTGCCTATAGTCCCAGCTACTTGGGGGCTGAGGCAGGAGGATCACTTGAGCCCAGGAGGCAACGGTTGCAGTGAGTCAAGATCATGCCACTACCCTCCAACCTGGGTGACAGAGTGAGATCCTGTCTCAAAAAAATAAAGGTGGGGGAGACAGAACTGAGCTTGGTATGTAGCAGCAATTTCCATACATTTTTAATCTCAGGACTGTTTTACACTGATAAAATTTATGGAGAATCTCAAAGAGCTTTGGTTTATGGGCATTATAGCTAGCAATATTTACTGTATTTTACTATATGTACTATATTTACTAATATTTACTGTTAGGTATTAAAATTGAGGCATTTAAAATCTTTTATTGTCAGCCTGGCGCGGTGGCTCACTCCTGTAATCCCAGCACTCTGGGAGGCCAAGGTGGGCGGATCACAAGGTCAGGAGTTTGAGACCAGCCTGACCAACATGGTGAAACCCCGTCTGTACTAAAAATACAAAAATTAACTTGGCGTCGTGGTGCACACCTGTAATCCCAGCTACTCAAGAGGCTGAGGCAGGAGAATCACTTGAACCCAGGAGGCAGAGGTTGCAGTGAGCTGAGATCACACCACTGCACTCCAGCCTGGGCAACAGAGTGAGACTCCATCTCAAAAAAAAATTTACTGTCATTTAAAATTAACAATAACAAATGCCTTCTGTATTAATGTAAGTGTTTTTTTATTTTTTGAGATGGAGTTTCGCTCTTGTTACCCAGGCTGGGGTGCAATAGCTTGATCTTGGCTCACCACAACCTCCTCCTTCTGGGTTCAAGCAATTCTCCTGCCCTAGCCTCCCGAGTAGCTGGGACTACAGGTATACGCCACCATGCCCAGCTAATTTTTGTATTTTTTAGTAGAGATGGGGGTTTCACCATGTTGACCAGGATGGTCTTGGTCTCTTGACCTCATGATCCACCCGCCTCGGCCTCCCAAAGTGCTGGGATTATAGGTGTGAGTCACCGCACCTGGCCCGTAAGTGGTATTTTTTATGAAAAAGCTATATTTTGCACAAGAAGAAATTGAGTAAAGAGAGTGGCATTGACTTGCATCTTCTAACAATCTTTTATTTATTTATTTATTTATTTATTGAGACAGGGTCTCGCTCTGTCACCCAGGCTGGAGTGCAGTGGCACAATCTTGGCTCACTGCATCCTCCACCCTGCAGGGTTCAAGCAATTCTCTCACCTCAGCCTCCCGAATAGCTGGGATTACAGGCACCCACCACCATACCTGGCTAATTTTTGTATTTTTTATAGAGATGGAGTTTAACCATGTTGCCCAGGCTGGTCTCGAACTCCTGAGCTCAAGCAGTCCTCCCGTCTTGGCCTCCTAAAGTGCTGGGATTATAGGCATAAGCCACTGTGCCTGGCCTGAAATCTCTTTAGTATCTGGTTTAGTAACTGACACCTGGATTCTCCTCAGATCTGTTTTCATTTCAGTCTGTTGTGATTTGTTGTTTTGGATTTTGCCTGTGAAGAAACTGTTCTTGCACAGACATGTGGTTGAAACAGGGAGAAAAGCTGTTTGTTTTTTGAGACAGGGTTTGGCTGTGTCAGGCTTTGGCACCAAAATGTAGTTGGACAAACATGACTCACTGCAGCCTCAACTCGCAGGCTCAAGCGATCCTCTCACCTCAGTCTCTCCAATGGCTGGGACTACAGGTGCATGGCACCATCTCCAGTTAATTTATTTTTCTTTTTCTGAGATGGAGATTCACTCTATTGCCCAGGCTGGAGTGCAATGGCGCAATCTCAGCTTACTGCAACCTTCACCTCCTGAGTTCAAGTGATTCTCCTGCCTCAGCCTCCCCAGTAGCTGGGATTACAGGCGCGTATCACCACGCCAGGCTAATTTTTGTATTTTTAGTGCAGACAGGGTTTCACCATGTTGGCCAGGTTGGTCTCAAACTCCTGACCTCAAGTGATCCACTCGCCTCAGCCTCCCAAAGTGCTGGGATTCCAGGCATGAGCCACTGTGCCCAGCTCTAGTCCTGGTCTTTTCTATCTGTGACAGTTCCTCAGTCATTTCTTATCTTTCTTTTTTTTTTTTTTTTATGTCTTTTACACCTTCAGAGAAGGTAGTTTCTTTTTTTTTTTTTGAGACAGAGTCTTGCTCCGTTGCCAGGTTGGAGTGCAGTGGCATGATCTCAGCTCACTGCAACTTCTGCCTCTTTGGTTTAAGCGATTCTCATGCCTCAGCCTCCCAAGTAGCTGGGATTACAGGCACATGCTACAACGCCTGGCTGATATTTTGTATTTTGAGTAGAGACGGACCTCATGATCTGCCTGCTTCGTCATCCTAAAGTGCTGGTATTACAGGCATGAGCCACTGCGCTGGACCTCATTTGTTTTTTTTTCTTTTTAAAGACAGGGTTTCACCATTTTGGTCAGGCTGGTTTTGAACTCCTGACCTCAGGTGATCTGCCCACCTCAGCCTCCCAAGCCGCCCGCCTCAGCTAGGATTACAGGTGTGAGCCACCGTGCCTGGCTTCTTTTTTTTTTTTTTTTTTTTTTTGGTTGGGGGTCTCACTCTGTTGCCCACACTGGAATGCAATGGTGCAATCACAGTTTACTGCAGCCTCTAACTTCTGGGCATAAGCGATCCTCCTGCCTCAGCCTCCTAAGTAGATGGGACTACAGATGTACACTACTATGCCTAGCAAATTCTTTTTATTTTTTGTAGAGACAAGGTCTCAGTATGTTGCCCAGGCTGGTCTCAAACTCCCAGGTTCAAGCGATCCTCCTACCTCAGCATCCCAAAGTGCTGGGATAGCAGGCATGAGTTACCATGCCCAGCAGAAATACTTTCTTATAGGTTATTGCAATGTGGAATCAGAAACCACTTGCATGAACTGGCTTGGCATTTGCCGGCCTAGCCACCTTGAACAAAGCACTTTGCCTGGAGGCAGTAAAAACCCATCTCACAGTGCTGCTGTGACTGACAATCCAGTGAGCTCATGGCTGTCCTTTTTCAGCCTACACAGTAACAATGGCAAATATAGGCCGGGCGCAGTGGCTCATGCCTATAATTCTAGCACTTTGGGAGGCCGAGGTGGGCGGATCACGAGGTCAAGAAATCGAGACCATCCTGGCCAACATGGTGAAACCCCGTCTCTACTAAAAAATACAAAAATTAGCTGGGCAAGGTGGTGTGCGCCTGTAGTCCCAGCTACTCCGGAGGCTGAGGCAAGAAGAATTGCTTGAACCCAGGAGGCGGAGACTGCAGTGAGCCGAGATTGCACCACTGCACTCCAGCCTGGTGCCTGGTGGTAGAACGAGACTCTGTCTCAAAATAAATAAATAAATAAATAACAATGGCAAATATCTGCTTATAAGTGCTTTACACGGATAACTTGGGTAACTCATTTAATCTGATATCAACCTTAAGCCGTAGGTACCATTGCTACTCCCATTTGACAGGACAGTAAACTGAGGCTTATAGCAGGGGAAGAGTCTGACCCCAGATCACATAGCCTGGGAATCAATGCCGGCAGGCTGGCTCAGGAGCCCATGATTTTTGTGGGTTTGTTTGTTTGTTTGATTGTTTTGAGACA